TAGTCTAACTGAAAATAATAAAGTTAAACAAATAATATTATATTATTAAAAGAAGAGCCTGAATGTATTCGTTTCATTGTAACATACAATATACTGTTGTTAAATTAACAAATTATTTTTTATTAGACTGCTGTTAGCTGATGCTATCGATCATTCCTTTCCGTGTATACATATCAACGTTTTAATCTTATTCCTAAACCGAAAGCACTAACAATAGTACTGCCTGATTATAAAATTGATAACATAAAAATTACATTTTCATGCTCTCGTGAGTCAAGTGGGAATACAAGAGAGATCCGGACAGATTGTATCTACGCGAAAAGTTATCTCAATCAATCTCTGATGCTGATTATACGCGTGTCTGTCGCTCGCTCGCTCGCTCGTCAATCCGTGCGACTTCCTTTCCCTCACGGTCGATAACGATTTTACCTCGCGACGAGACACCATCGTCGTGGCAGCCCGCCGCTCGTTCGCCCACGCAAAGACGACTGGATTTCGTCGGTTGATGGGACAGACATTCTACATTCGAATAGCCGCACGAACGGCTCCAGACGGAGTTCGGATGTGAAAGATGAAAAATCTCGAGACTCGCGGCTGCCACGGCCACTTTGCGTGTCGCGCGTGAAAAGATACATTATAACGTACGATGCGAATCGTGCGATTTTATTACATTTTACAACGAGCATTTCGATTGAAAGTATTACGCTGTCGGTTTTAACATATATATATATATCTCGGACCCGTTGCGAACCCGTTGATAAATCGAGTCTTTCGGGTGTTGCAAAACAGCACGGAGCGGCGTCCGCGGCTGTGCTACCCGTCCGGTTACCCTGCCCCGAGCTCGCCCCCGCGGACGTTCGGATAAACCAATCAATAATTGATTCGTGCACGGATGCACGACGCCGTAATGGAGTTAGGCGAAACGCAATGGCGTTTTAATCGAAACGCACGCCGAATCGGACGCGGCGGTGGGCGCGCACCGCGCGATCGGCCAATTAACCGCCCGATTTCCGCATCCCGATGGATCTCGGAGGTCAATTGCCATATGAGCCCCCGTGTGCGGTGAATCGCGCGCGGATTCTCCCGCCGGACGTCTCGGAACGCTGCAGATCGCGAACGCTTTTCCAACTCTCGACCGACTCGCTGCAGGCGAATCTCGACCGGGGGGGAGGAGGGGAGGGGGGAGCTACGCGCGATTCTGAAGCAACGAATTTAAATTCATTTTCAAAGTAGAAAGACCCGATTGTTGTCCGGCGCGACGCGTGACTTTTGCGCGTCGAAAGAGAGACATATGGAGCGCGTTGTCGAGTCACCCACGTATTATACAAGCCCCTTAATTGCACCGCTAATATCGGTCGACGGCGCGCGTGCGGCGGCGCGGTTTAGACACCGCGTCGTCGTCCCGTGCTCGTTAATATTTCACTTCCGGCGTGCTGTCCGCGCGCGCGGCCACCACCGGGTTTTCAAGTCAGCCGTGCGCGGCTGTCTAAAAATAGGATATAGATCTGTGTGGATGTAAAATGCGGGGGAGAGAGAGAGAGAGAGAGCGAGAGGGGGGTTTAGAGACGCGAGCATGTCCCCGCGCGTGTGTCCAAATAATTTCGCAAACAAATCTCGCGTCGGACGAAATCGCAACAGAGGGGCAGCAGGCGAGAGAGATAGAAAAGAGGTAGCGAAAGCAGAACGAATTTCGCGCGAGCCATCGATCCTCGGATAATTCTCGGATTTTTTTCCACGGAGGATGTTTTTATTCACGACAAGATAAAGCTTCATTCTTCATCTCCGTCGGTATTAATCCTCGTTAAATAACGCATCGCACCGGCGCGTTCGCCGTTACGTTCGTGACGAACACGCGTATAGCTTTCACAGCGAGCAGCGAGGAAACCTGACGCAAGAACAGAGAGAGAGGAAAATCGGGCGATGGAGATACGTGCGAGAGAGAGAGAAAATAGGAGAGATGGGAGTACGACTGTGGAAGGGATCGCGCGTTCGTGAAAAGATCGTGAAAAAGAGGGATTCCACGGCGGGGCGAGAGGGGGAGGAGGTAAGGGGTAGCTGAGCGAGGGTTGGGGGATGGAGCAGGAAGACCGAACGGACAATATGGCCGGCAGCGAGCGAGGGAAGCGCCGCCTGGAAACATTTTTCTATTCCCGCCGCGATCAGCAGTTTTGCGATCCCGTCGTTTCGCGTTGCCGTCTTCTGGCATTCGCTTAGGTTAGATCCGTTTCCAATCACGCGATCTCCTCCAGATCCCGGCGAAATCGTATTGTCTACACGACGCCCGATGTCCGAATTTCTAAAGTCGACGCAGGAAGGAAGAAACGAACGCGCGCTAGCGTTGCTTTCAAACGGTGTCCTTTTACGCGAAAAATGCTGTCACTGTCAATATTCACTCGATCTTTGTTGTTTTCGTTCGCTAATAAATAAAGTTTAGCACGATAGATGCCCGAAGATGTTTTTTTTTTCACTGAGAGTTAAGAAAGGAGAATGCTTGGAGTTTTTGCACGAAGATTGAGTTTGATAATTATATTTACATATAAAAAAAAATTCGTTTTTATGGAGGTAATAGTTACAGGGATTTAAATCTACGTTTGTGTAGCTGCACATTTTACATTTGGCATTTATCATTTTCTTGCTTCTATTCCTTCCCAAAGTTACTTAGAAAAGCTTATTTTCAGATTGAGACTGCTATGATTATTAGAAGTGCCACTGGATCTGGAGAAACAAAAAATGCGTTTGATAAAATAGAGCGAAATCTGTGATATGAGTAATGAACAGATGGGCACGAGTAAACATGTCTATCTTGTTCATTCTTTACTTTTTACATGATTTTGACATGAAAAAAAATGCAATAGAAGCATCTTATCTATGAGTGTAGACTTACAAAAAATATAAACAATTACAAAAGTAGCAATTCAAAATTGGAATAAATTTGCCCAACGCAAATTGCACAGCTGGACAATTTAAAGGATTTTCTCCGTTTCTTTTCTTTTTGGAAAAATTGATCTGAAATCGGTCCAAGTCGAAGAAAAAAAAAAAAAAAACACGCGCGACGTGATCGAGAAAACATGTTTCACGATCGTGCAGGAAGCGAGCCGTAGAGTCTCGGCAGCGATGTTGTGTGCGCTTGACCTGCCCTCGCTCACCATTTTACCAGCCATTGTTGCCACCATCCGGGACGAAAAATTGCGCTATGCACAGGATTTATATGCCCGTCGGAATATCTCTCGCGATTTCACAGCAACACGACGACGCGACGCACGTTCGCGTTCCCGTTCCCATTCGGGGAACCAGGATGGAAAAACCAGGAATCCACGTCCGGACGGTTCCGTCTTGCGTCTCGAGGGGAGGGGAAACGTAACTTTTTTTTGGTTAAGTTACGACGGAGTTCGTCGGCTCCTCCGGGGGCCGATTTCGCGGACACTCGCGCGTTCCTCCGGAGTCGGAGGACAGGACGACGGACGGGACGATGCGACAGCGCAGCTTCCGAGCACCATCGAGGACGAGCGGAAGGCGAGCGACCGCGAGAAACGGCGACGATCCTCGGCGACGATCGTTGTCGCCGACCGAGGGGAACGGGACCTCGCCGTCGGCTGATCGCGGAGTCCGTGACTTCGCGACGAATTCCCGCCGTCTCGGGGACACCGCCGCGGCGCCGGGCCGATTTGCGGCCCGAAAGAGCGTCGCTTACCTTAATGTGACAGGAATACAGAAGCTCGCTCGTAACTCGGATGTAAACACAGGCATTTTTCGGCAGAAATGACACTGAGGCAGGCGAAACGACGCGCGTCTGAACACCGTTTACATCGCGGCCGACGCCGATGCGTCGCGCAATGCGGTCCTGCGTTATTAAATACCGCGGTAAACACGGGAATTCGGTCTCTCCGCGGAAAACATCAATCGAAAACTAGAGATGGCAGCCATTACTTTCGTACAAAACAAAGGTCCACATCCACGGACTTGCGAGCGAGCTAGCCTCGAGCCCAGCGCGTCGCCGACACTCGGCGGCGCGGCGCGCGATTCGAACCGCCGTCGAATATCTTGGGGAGGGACGATCGGCGATCGCCGCCGTTCGCCAACGATTCCCCCTCGTCGGCGATCGGCGATCGTCGAAATCTCGGGGGCGCGGCGCGACGTCAAGCGCGATCAAGACGCGAATACGCGACGGTAAACGATCGAGACAATTTCGAATTGAAGCGCGTGCAGATCTGCACACGCGAACGACACCGACGACAGACGCCCGACTTGGGCCGAGCTAGCCGAAGCCGCGGGAAGATGTCGCGCCGTTCGCGCGCGGCGCCATCTGTCGACGAGTGCGGCAAGCGCCGAACATCCGTGCGCTGCCAACGTTAGGGAGCTAAGCCGCGGCACCGCCGAGTCGAGCCGAGCGGATGGCTTCACAACGCTAAGGCTGACACAAGTATCGTTTTGTCTTCGTTACTCGCTAAACGGCTAAGAAGGGATAGAACGATGTTTGCGTCGACCTGTGTATCACCAAATAGAAAAGCTCCCCCATACATTAAATATTCCACTTGGGTTTACACATTTCATATCTTGCGCATTTCTCGATTACGATAATGCACACGCATATGCGACCGCGAAGTAGCCATCTGTGCGATTATATCTGTAATTCGCTACATCGTGTCGATATGACAGGTTTCGTCTCATTGTCTCACGATCGTTGACGACGGTGGCTGGGAAAGCGTGTTGCGTAGTGCGTATATGTGTACATACACACACGACATACGTTTATGAGCGTCCCGATGTTGGTGTGGTTACTCTCTATCGTTACGCGACACGCGTAGCTACGCGCGAGAGACCGGAGAGACCTGCGAGGCGGCGATCGTGGCTGTCATCGCCGGCCTCGCCGTTTATTGATTTTCTCGCTCTACAGATATATATCGCATAAATATCGCGGGACACCATGTGCCAGCGTGATTGAGCGGGTCGTGCCGATCGAGGGTCCTCGTTTTTTTTAACGCGGCGCGATGTGGTACGTACCGTCATGGGCGGAATGGTAGATCGTGAAAGAGGAGTCCGCGCGAAGGGCTCTTTGCGCGAGAAATGAAGGAAAGCGGCGATTGTTGCGCGAGGGGATCTGAACAAAAAAAAGAAAGAATGGAGTATCATTGGGAAAAGAACGGAAAAGCAAAAGAAACGACGTGTCGGAGGAACCTTGATGCTCGAATGAAATGTTTCGAATAATTATACGCGTCCGCGATTTTCGTCCGGATATGACGCGTTCGTCGTTGCAATTGAAATAATTCAACTCCGTCGCGCGATTTAAATTGTTGACATCCGAGGTATACTTATTGTTATGCAAATCGTTCGATAAAAAAAAACATGACTGTACGTCTGTTCGCTCGAATACGCATATATTAGTGAGCTCTAGATATAGGCATCCTGATCTGTTCTTTTTTTGTAGCTGAATTAGTGTATATACTCTGTACATATTTAAAGTGAAATAGATATCCCAAGCAGAACGAAAAGCATCATGACATAAATAGAGCTCCGAAATTATTGAATCATATTGTTTCAATAATGTGTTTCAATTAGTGATTCATTTTAACGTCATTCGTTTTAACGTAATCTGCTGTTCTGCTTGAGATATCTTTGACAAAAGTAAACTTCTAGCCTCAGAAATATATGTATATATACGTTATATTCTTTTCATTGTGATAAATTTATGTTCCATTAAAAATATGTCGCAGATGGAAATTATCTGACGCCTGCGTGCTTTTCATACGTAGAGAGATGGCTGACGCGGATCCGCAGTTTAAACGCCTTTTACTGCCAGCGGAGGAAACTCTGTTCGAACAGCTGTTGAGATTCGGCCTCTACGTAGGTGCGGTGTTCCAAATCATGTGCTTGGTAGCTATAGTCGCGTATCAGGCCGGTCCGTCCGACGGCGTGGCAGCTTTGAAGGTACCTTCTGATTGTCGCACAGTTTTCCAAGACAGCGGCTTTCCCTCGTAGCAATGACTCTTGTAATTGCAGGACGATCCGAGCGACGTAGAATGTTCTGAAAACAGTCCTCAGGTGACGCCGAGAAGACCTCATCGGCCGCGAAAGCAGGAGAAGAAGAAGAGGCGTTGAGGACGTTTTCCTGCGACGATACTCTAATATATACGTACTACTCTCATACTTCACGATCATTTAAAGGCTCCGGGCTTTTAGAATAATTCCTCAACTCGTTTTCATCTAAGTTATTTGCTAAATGGATATTTTATAATTTTTGTAATGACAATCTTTGTATATAATTGTAATATAATTTATTTCTACTTGTTAAACGTAGAGCTATTATTATCTCTGTTTTAACTCTTAACCGTGAGTACAATTGCAATTCTCGGTGTAAAAACTATAGTCAGCTTGTTTTTTTTATGGGAATGACTTTTCGATTTAACATATTGAACGTTCCATATATGTTTCTTTTTTTTGGTATATATAAGAAACGATTATTAGACCACTAGAAATACCTTTTGGAAGAAACCCGATATTGACGACAACACTGTTGAAATTAAAATATCAATATAAGAATATTTGTTTATCGATGAATAAAATTACATTTTGATACATTTGGTTTGTTGATTTTTATTTTAAAAAATCGAGTAAAAGAACTGATGATAGCTTTATTTAAGACAAATTTTTTCTTATAAAAATTATTACCATATTAAAATTATTTTTATTCAAAAACATGTTTATTTAATAAAAATACATGTATCAAAGCGATCTCTATATATATTCCAATGATTTGCATAAAATATTTTGTATAATATACTTAATTGGCAACTTAAAAAATTTCTTTTTAATATCGTAGTTTTAAAAAAAATAAAGCTGACTGGGCTTTTGCACCGAGCCTTTTATTTCTACGTAATTAATCCTACGTAAGGGAAAAAACTAACTTTTATATAATAAAAATCGCGGGGAAGATTTTTTGAAATACAGAAAGACGTGTATATATATCTAAAGTTCCTTATGAAATAAACAAGAATTTTGAGACCACCCTATACATACGTTATATAGGTTATAACATAACCTCTAACAATAAATACGTCCTGTACGTGTTGCGTGACGCGTGTAACAACATAACCTCTCTTAATACATCCTGGACCCTGACAACCCTGTGACTTATATCATAACCTCTCGATCGAGAAAATCACGGTACCCTCGGCGCGATTATGCGATGAATTTACGTTGATTTGGCTGTAAATGCGAACACAATTGAACGATGCCTCGTAGTTCGAGCATTGTTATTTAATTATTCGTCAAGAATGCTGCACAACACGGCGAGCCCGTCGCCCCAGGACATCTTGGCCGAGGTTAGAAAATTCATCTCCGGTGCCGTCCGTTCCTCGCACAGCACGAACACGCAAGATGTCACGCGCACGGCGTTGTCCTTGCTGAGAAACGTACCCGCGGCGAGGGAAGCCGTGCTCGAGTACTTTTGCAATGTATTCTTCGTCGCCGTGACGAAGTACGTTCGTCAGATCGAGGTAAGGCGCACCTCTCGACCCGGTTCACCCTTTCGCGCAATAAAGATCAGGTATAAATATGACAATAACGGCGAAATTGTGATTTCCGTAGACAAATCAGAACGCACCGATACACGAGGAGAGTATCATAGCGGAGATTCATGCCGTCCTGAGCAGCTTCGTCAATGGAAATCCAGAAGCGTGGGCGCCCATCATATCCGCGTGGTCTTTGGACCTGCTCGGTACGTACATTTCACTCAGTTGCGCCGGTACACACAAGGTTTCTGGGATGCGCAACAGTGTAATACACCTCTCCCACGCAGGCAAGCTGTCGTCCGACTACGCGAAGCGCGGCAATTTGCCCGTCAACGCGGGCATCAACGATTTTCTGCAGCAGTGGATGTCGTGCCGCGCGACGAGGACTCTGATCGACATCACGGCGCAATGCCTGCAGTGCCTTATGCACTCCGACACGGAATCCTGTATCAAGGCGTTGTTGGACACCAGCGTGATGCACAGTCCGTACTTCGATTGGGTGGTCGCTCACGTGGGGAGCTGCTTTCCGAACACTGTGATCACTCGGGTGCTGTCGTGCGGACTGAAGGACTTCTGCGCCATGGGCTACGAGCATAACGTTAAGAATCCGAAGTTAAATTCCGTTGTAGGTATACTGGGACATTTGGCGGGTAGTCACTTTCAAGATATTAGAAAGGCGCTGCTAGACCTATTCGAGGTAAGCCTACAATCACATGTCACGTGTTTCTCTGATTTGAATTTCTGTGTTGCATATAATATATTCGCAATAATCTTCTAGTGGAGTCTGGAGGAAGACGTGAGTCTTGATGAAGACACCAAGAAGCAGAAACTGGCGACAGTACCGTTTCTTCTGAATCTGGCCTCGCTCTCGCAGACTCTGTTGAAAGCAATAACCAGCGATGTATTACAAATATGTATGTTTCTGATAGAAATAAGTATTAAAAATATTGGCCAGAAAGTTTTTTTCGCGTTTTATAACGAATTCAAATACGAAAAGACTTTCCGACCAACCTGATACATTGAAATAACATTATTGAAAAGTTGCATTATCGTTACGATTGAGTGACTGTAAAAAAATGTTTACAGTGAGACCGGACATCATACCGCGACTGGCGTTGTTCGCGGCGGACTGGTGTAGGTACTTCGACAATCAGCCAGCGGCGTTGATGGACCTGATGGTACACCTGATGTTGGGATGCGAGCAAGGCGCGTCGCAGATAATCAACATACTGCTGGACACGAGTCTGAGCACGAGCAACGTCGGCTATCACAGCGTCAACGCGGCGCAGAACGTGAAGAACGTCTGTCGGGAGATACTGGAATTGATTCTGCAAGAGATCGACCTCCTGTTGAGAACGCACGGACCGCACTCCGCTAACATCCTTCTGCTGAGCTCCATCAAGCAGGAGATAACGTTGATAGTGCCGATGCTGCTGAATCCCAATCCGCTGCGTGTGCAAACGGCCGTCAGGCTGTTGTGCTTTCTCAGAAGTCAGAATCCGAACATAGTCGTCTCCACGGCGTCCTACATGCTGATGAAGGCGCAAACGATGTTCCATCTCGCGGCCCTGATACGTCTCATCACTAACAACGTCGTGCAGTTTCCCACGAGTAAATCCGGAACCGAAAATATGCTCGCTGGCATCGATTACTTTACGCAGGTCTTGGAGCAAGCGATTAGAGAAATCCACTACAAAAGTGTCATAGATAAGGAGGGATCGAGACAGTTATTCAAGAATCTCATTATAATGTTGAAGTAAGTGTCGACGGTTTAAAATGGTGTTCACGGCATTTTACACTTTAATTTAATAATTGGAATCCGTCTGTTTCATTTAGATGGGAAAAATCAAATAAGGTGGAAATATTGCAGTCACAGATGATTAGCAGAGCCCTCCAAGCTAATTTATATCAAATATCTTGTTTACTGATGAGAAGTGATGACTTCGATTTGGCAAATGACATCGTTACTCTGTTGGACCTGTTGAGCACTCCTGAAAAAGATCAAGTCCTCGATATGGAGCTTATGCTGAAATTAACGAGGGCGATCATACAATATTTCTTTTCGTGCATTGCTCAAACTGGTAATTAAAATTCTAACGCCTTTATTTTCTTTTTAGTAACAAAGTATATAAAAGTACAATTTATTTCTCAGATGTTATAAAAAGGGAACGAGGAGTAAAAATGGTGTGTCACTTATTGAAGGATTTAACGTGTTATTCCACGTCCGCACGCGTATTGGCGCTCAGGGAGATTCTAGGAAACAGTATCAATAGCGAGCAGGCCAAGTATTTTGGCGCAAAGGAGAAATTCGAGCCTCGTTTTGAAGAGATGCTATTATTACATCAGAATCACAAACAGGTATAAAGGCAGGATAAAGTATATTCTATAATATGCAAAATATATTTCGATACGCGTTCGAAATCTTTTGCAATTTTAATAAAAAAATGATTTTATCTTAGGTGACGAGTACCATGTTAGCGCAGCGACATTCGTCCGTATTTCATGCTGGTGTAATAGGACAGGGTCCGCGAAGACTTCCGCCGGAAAATTCGATCGATAAAGAAGTCGTTGCTTTAAACAAAATGTTGTTAATAGATGTTATAAAGGTAGAAAATTACGATAAGGTTTATTATTTTAATAGACCTCAAGATATTATATTGAATACTTATAACATTCAATTCGAATTATTTTCAGGCCTGTTGCAGCAACCAGGAATTAGATCGATATCCAATTAACTTGGATGCTCTGACAATGGTTAGCTTGTTGTTAGTTGAATTGGTATCGCCTGACGTTATGTACAACGGTCTACCGTGGCCTGATGAGGAGTTTACAAAGGTTATTATTTACGTTAAATACTTGCCAAGTAAAATTAATTAATTACTGTTATATTGCATTAATACACAGTCTTCAGTTCGCTCTTTCACTTATCAATTAAAAGTTTTTATCCTCAAGAGCAGACACAGTATTTTACGCGATATATTTGACTTCAGATATCTTGAGATTAAATTTATGTTTTGGAAACTTTGTTTTTATTAGAGTAGAATATTTTTCCAAAATTCTAATATGAGAAATGGCAAATTCGGAAATCAAGATCTTTTATTTAACAAGCGACTGCACTGAGCTATCCATCATTCCTAAATAATTGTTATCTAATGGAATAATAATTTTAATTATGGCAGGTCACGATAGAAAGAGATTTACAAATCCGTCGCAAGTTTAAGGACGTTCCTCTGTTGTGGACGTTATTAGAACTGACCGCCTGGTACAGGCCGGCGTTAGCGTATTGCTCAGTTTTGCTGAGAGGCATTACCGCGACTGTCATGGCCAATTGGAACACGGAGGAAGGTGTTTCGCTTGTCAATATAATGGCACTCGGTCAATTATTACCACCGCCGCTGGCGAGTATCAGGGACATCCTACCTGTTTTACAGCCTCACCAGGTACAATTTCGCGTAATGTTGCAAAAACGATTTCAATTAAATCCACACATTCGGATTTTTGTATTTCGCTAATGGCTCCAATTGCAGATAAACACAATAATGAGAGAGTGCTTGTGGGCGTACATGCGCGAAAACGTGCCGTCTCCAGCGCTATTTACGCGAAATGAAGGCACCAACATAGCCTGGAGGGACATCGACATGTCCTCACCCAACGCACGTTTCACGGATACTCTTCGTTTAGTATTATTGGCAAATATTCACACTTTAGGATCTCTATACGCGACCTTATTTTACAATGAAAATCAGTAATATAAAATGCAATATATTTTTGGAACAATATACTTAAATTATTTTTAATTGTACACGTTTTGTAAATACTATCAATCGCGCTTAATAATAATTGATAAATTATATATGAAACTGTATTTGTCCAGTCTTTTTCTATTTTTTTTTTTTTTTTTACTTATAATATATACTTATACATAATTTTTCAGAGAGCTACATGTCTTGATAATACTAGCTAATACAATATTATCAAAATACTTAGCTTGCGAGAAAATCAGTTTGTATCATAACACATTCGTGTTGCAAAATTATGAGTACTAACAATAAGATTAAATATTTCCACAGGTTTCATGTATTAAACACCATTAACAGTAAGTACATTTGGACATTTAGTTGTTTTTCTCCCTGTTACATTGATATCCTATAACAATAGTTATAATTCATATATATTTTTTTTTTATAACAACCCTAAATATAAAGTAGAAAATGACAGTCACACACACTGTATAAAATAGGAAGTAATCTTTACTAGTTTCTTGTATACATTCTGCTTTAAGTATGTAACATATTACATAATACACGGATCCTTCTTTTTATGATATAATCGGCCGTTATAACCCTCAATTAATATGGATAGAAATTTGTTCTTGGAAAGTATCGTGAATCGTGTAATGAGAGATTATGCATAGCGAAGTGCGATGAAAAACCGATGTTGAGGAATGAAACAAGGAAGACGAAAAGAAAAATATACATGTGTTCCAATATTTATAAAAGCACACTCTCTCTCCTAAATACAATAATATTATAAGAAACAAAAATATTAATTAACTTCGTATTATTATCGATACAGGAATGGATGGATACCTAAGATGAGAAACGAACGCTGTTCGAATTGCTGCACGAAATTACCCTAGGTGGGTGTCTCGTCCTAAACGGAAATGATTATTTCGTATAATCGTAATATGCAAAATCGGTTCAATTCATTATATATAAATGTCGCGATCTCACTTGTACGCCATTGAGTCTTCACGCGGCTCTGTCCCTGCGTCAAAATCACAGAGCCCAAAAAACGCTAGTAAAAAATGTTGAAAATATTCAATTACTTTCTCACTATGTACACGCGCTGCTCGTTGTACGAAAGATTATTACATCCTCGCGCGCAAGCACGGCGGTGCGCGCGAGGGGGCACCTTCCGTGCTTGCGTTTTTTCGAGCAATAAATTGTTACATTCGTGTGTTCTTACATACTCTCTCTCTTTCTTTCTCTCTACGCTCCGTCAGAGTATCTTGCCTCTATCAGTTGGTGCTTCGTGTACCCGTTTGACACAGCGTAGAATCGATAACGTTTAATGTAAAAAATAAAGGGCACGTTCTTTTTCGCGGTAACGCATGAACAAAGATCTCGCGAATACAATGTAAAAACAGTGTTGCCTCCGGAAATAGATTTCAAAGTATATATATTGCGTGTGTCAATGGTCACGTTAGTATATTCTGTGTAAAAGAAGCACATATAGACTTTGTTTTTTTTTTATTTTAAGAAATGTCATCGACAGTATAATCTTTTGAGCAGAGAATCAACAATATATACCAATGGTAAGTTAAATATGTGCGACTTTATGTATAACAACGGGGAACTTTCGTTCTGGCGCTGGTGTTCGTCTTATCATTTCTATGAGCTTTCGACAGGAACACGCAGCTGCCAATCCGACTCTCTTACTTTACAATAAATTATTACTCAGTTCTTCAGAATTAAAAAAGTTCACTTTTCAAGTCTATAGGTGAATTAAGTTTAGAAGAGTAACGTGCTCATGCCACCCATTTCACTTTGCTCCTTCACAAAGATCTCGAAGTATTGGTATATGATTGTGACAGCGAGCAAGATACCGGTACCGGAACCGATCGCGCCCAAGAAGTCCGCCAGTACGGAGAGAGCCCCGATACACAGTCCGCCGAACGCCGCGGCGGTCGGAATATATCGATTTAATTCGCGGATCATGGAATTATCTCTGTGGCCCCGCATCACCATCTGCTGCTCTCTCAGTTGTTTAGCAACCTAAAAAGTTCAATGATGCATATCGTAAATTTTTATATTACGGGAGGATTATACCGCTTTAGAGCGGAGAAAGTTATACTGACGTCCTTTGCCGAACTTCCGGAGACCTCGATCCACGTCTTGGAGAAGAAAGCGCACGAGCCGAGCATGAAGAGAATGTAGAGTACGGCGTGGACAGGATCCTGAACGATGTGGCCGACCGATTCTGGAGGTGATAGGTAATAACATAATCCGCCCACCGGATACGATCTCGCGGGCCCTCCGCCACCCACGTCCGACCACACGCCCAGCAGATTCACTATAAGATTCCCTTGGAACTTGACGGCCAGCATCTGAGAGATGACGTACAAGTTGGACACCAAGGCCGACTGCAGGATAATCGGGATGTTGCTGGTGTAAAACAGTTTGATCGGATAGCTGCTGTACTGGCCGCGATATCTGGCGGATTTGATCGGAAGATCCACACGGAAGCCCTGAAAATGAACCGATTTGATTTTTAGAGACCAGTCACTCACGGTCTCGTAAGATCTTTGAAAGATCAGCAATTACTAATTTATATATATATATATATAAATTTTAAAGCAAGTGCAAACGCCCTGTGATTTATCTGTGCAATTCATATTACTTGGATCTGTGTAATTTTTATTACCTGGAAGTATATAACGATAGCGAACACTAGAATGGTGGCGAGGAGGTTCATCAGATTTGGAAGATTCTGTCTGTAGAAAGCTTCTCGGAGGGCTCGGACTTTGTCCTGCCTGGTGGCCAGCAAGTGGAACAGCGCGATTACGGCTCCTTCAAATTCTGTGCCACGACCTGTTGAACATACAGAAATGTAATTTTAGTTTATCAAAGTTAGATGAACACGGGAAGAACATTTCTACATATTATAGTTTTTTCTTCCATAATAACGAGAAAATTACCGGTGTTGACCGTGGCCGGCGAAAAGGCCTTCCAGACAATGGTCTCGCAAATATTGGTGGCGATGAAGAGAGAGATTCCACTTCCCAATCCATATCCCTTCTGGAGAAGCTCGTCCAACAGCAACACGATAAGACCAGCGACGAATAACTGGATGATAATCAGGAGGCAGACGCCAGCTCCAATTTCAGTCGGATCTCCGTACATCCCGGTCATTACGTAAACGATGGCCTGTCCGACGGTAATAACCATGCCGAATACTGTACGTAGAAAAAAAAAAAACGTCACTTACGCCTCATTTAAAAGCAATACATTAAAATTTAACGATAGTACATTAAAACTTATGCAATTACATTTCTGCGCGCCGTTGAATAACGCTCTATCCTTCGGCGTATCGCCGACCTCGATAATCTTCGCGCCGTGGAGCAGTTGCATGATGAGACCCGAAGTAACGATCGGCGAGATGCCCAATTCCATGAGGGTGCCTCTGTTCGACGCGAGTATCACGCGAATCCAGTAGAACGGATCCGCGCTGTCCGAAGACATGATACCGAACAGTGGAATCTGAAAGTGACAATATTATGCGTTTACATTTATTTGCCTTATCAACAGTATTCTGCAAGTCAAATATGAAGATCTATTAGCTCACCTGACAGCATACTAAGAAGATAAACAACGTGATCGCTGTCCATAGTACTTTTTCTCTGAACTGGATCTATGGAGAGATGCAGAAACATCATGGATCTATCTTATAATTCCTCTGACTGTAACTATCTTATGATAAGATAAATTAACCCTCGGAGGATGCATCCTTCGGAGGATTATGGCTGAGTCATTCTTTGCTCTATTAGATAATCAAAAGGTCGCTCCGCATATAAATATAATACGTGAAACAGAAGTTAAAAAAAAAGGCAGTTTTCAAGTATCAGATCTTTTACATCCTTGCGATTTAGAGGGTATGTACGAGCGATCTTTGAAAATTAATGAATATCTCGAGTGACCCAGCCACCATCAATCAAAGATATTGTAAATATTGTAAAGACACATTAAGGGACACAGTAAATAGGAGCTTGTCAGGAGAAAGGTATCAAGGAGAGCCTCTTAGCTTGAGATGGAAACAATTCCACGCTCTATACGGACAGTGTGCATCGTAAACAGATGGTGACGGGAGTACTCCGTCTCGTCCCACACTTACGCACGCCCGGGACGATCGGGGCGCGATTTGGGAAAAACGGTACACGAAACTGTAAATACAAGAGCGAGACGGAAATAGCGCACTGTACGTACGTCGCGTGCGGGCGGCTTACCTTCCGTTGCGGCTTCGCTATTTCCGGCAGTATGCTGCAGAACGGCTTTATCACCTCGAGAAATTTGACTGAAAGCAGAAGGGTTGAGGGCGGTTTAGCGGCTGTCCGCGTGCGACCGGGCGCGATTCGCGTATCGCCAGCAATATGTTTGCGCCGAGAGGAGGTTACACGCGCGTGAAGAAACGAGAGAGCGCGGCGCGCGGGGTTTGCGGCGAACGGCGAATCCCGCGGATTGCACTTGAAAAAAAAGAGATCCGGCGGCTGGCCCTTTAATTTCTCCAGGCTCGCGAACGCGCGCGCGGGTGGGCGACATATACTCACATCCCATCCTGGCTGCGTTCCGTCGACACGACTGTCCTAAGCACCGCGGATCGAGTGACCTTCCCTCACAGGATCCCCGTGAATCGACACCGTCTCGCAAAGTAGCCTCTCATCCAAGCGCACGAACGCGGCCGCGTATGCACGACTGGCAGAGCGTAGCGCGAGTCGTGGCTCACCCCGCCGACACGTATCAATATGCCAGTGTCACGTGACCTGATGATGTTGGCCGGCGCGCTTTCGCACGCGCTCCCGCGCCCGGCGCCAGATGGCGCGGCGCGCCGGTCGATAATCACACGTGGCACCCCGGCGTTATCCAAGGGGAGTATATTTATGAGAAACTTGGGTATTATATCGACCTCGGGTAAATTTTCGTGAATCGCTTGATAAGCGGGTTTCGAAATACAGCGGTACACGACGGGTTGCATAACAGTAGGTTCGAAAAATTTTCCGCGCTACGTCAAACGCTAAATTTAGCTGTAAAAATATTCGAATGTTTTTGAAGAAGATAATTATACTTTATTTATAATTATAAGACTCGCAATTTTCTTTAATGCATTTTCAATTTTATTTAATGCAGCGAAGTCTTATATAGCCTCTCTACATTTTTAATTGAACGCCTTATTGACATTCGCATTATCGTTTACTTAATTTCTCTCTGCGCTTATAAGTAAAAAAGATTATGATATCAAGCAATTTATCATATGTATAATAAAACGATGCACATAACTTTCTGTAACTCGAATGTAGTATAGCAATTACTTTAAGTATCATTTATTATATTACGAGATCATTTTTTATCAATATATTAATTCTCTCCCAATCTCTCTTTTATGTAAGATTATTTTTCTTCTATTGTACCGTTCCTTATTTCTATAAATTAATGTCTAAAAATAAGAAAATTATGAACGTATTAAATTTATATTTTAAATATTCTTAAAAAAATTGCTATCGAGAATTTAATGAAGAGTTGTTTTTCGGAATTTCCAGAGAAATCTCTCTGTCTCTCTCTCTCTCTCTCTCTCTCTTTTATGTAAGATTCTTTTTCTTCTACTGTACTGTTTCTAATTATTTCTATAAATTAATGTCTAAAAATAAGAAAATTATGAATGTATTTATATTCTAAATATTCTAAAAAAATTGCTATCGAGAATTCAAAAATTGCTATCGAGATTGTTCTTCGGAATTTCCAGAGAATCTGTATAATTTGCATAAATTGCAATTGCAATTAAAAAAATATGCCTCTGTGTGCCGCAGTTTGTATGTACAACACTGCTAAATTTTTATACCAAGTAAAAATTACACAATTTGCTACGTTGTTTCCCTCTTAAGCGTTCGCATGATTGAACATCCGTACATATCGGTCAAGGGCTCATATTTTATGCAAATCAAGAAACGTATGATGGCCTGTATAACAAATGACTTGTTACAATTGACTAATTTATCACTTTCGTTATCTTCGCTTTCATTTACATACACGCGCATATCCACAGCTAATATTATATTTATGATTTATTCAATTTTAATTATCATTAATTATTACGTGAAATTTTTCATAATTTTTTACAAATCTGTTATAAATATTTTATTTCTTCCACAGTTTACGGATTGCTCATCTTGCCAATATCAAATGTACAAGATTTACTACTGCGGCAGATCAGGAAATGATGTATCAGACACTCCTTTACGGAGCGCTAATTTGCATAAGTCCGACGTGCGCGATGATTTGCATTATATTTAGATACATAACTCAATCTCATTCAATAGCGCTTACACGTACGTTACGCATTTCCTCAGACATGTATTCCTCTTGGAAGAAAAACATTTCTAACGCGAAAAAATTTTTGAAATCTAATAAAGTATGTCAAAATCGCGGGTACAAAAATGTTCACGTAACATCTCCTACATAAAATTGTTCTCACGCCTCACGATATCGCACACGCCTCGTCGTGAAAGCTCGCGCAATTTATCTTCGCGTATAACGAAATTATAAATCAATATCCACGGTCTTTCACCGTCGAAGATCATTATCGTTAAGTAATATCGATCGTTCGAAATATTTCATTTTCACGTTAAATGACGCGATAACACGCGATCAACATCAACGATTTCGCGAACTGTCAAAAGAGAAGAAAAAAAATGGGAAAGAGTATAATTTGCGTTGGTCATTTATTGTGTGTACCGTGCCGATATTCATCCGTCCGTGGCGAGCAGCGATATTTCTTCGCAGGTGTCGACGAAACCGTGTAAAGTAGGAGAGCTTGTATATAAGAAGCCGGTGTGCGTTTAGATTTTACTTGTTCTTTTCAGCCTATACCCTGAGCCTATTCCTTTCCAATCGCGCACTACGACACTCTAAAGTATCCACGTCATGAGAAGAGCAATTTGTAAATACGTGTCCCTGGCGTGCGTTCTCGTCGCCCTCGTCCGTGGCGGGTAAGTGAAAGGACATTGCATCCACAAATTGACGAGGTGTCAACACGTACTCACACGTTTAATAAAAGGAAGCCGTACATTAAGCAATATTTATTCTCCTGTCGAGAGACAACGAGAAACGAAAGCTGAGTTTTCGCAGCTGGATTTTTCGATTAAAACTATAGACGTAATATAACATTGTTATAATATGTAATAAAATCTATGTATAATATTTGTATTGTGAGATGAAGCATAGCATCCAAAGAGTGCTGTCGAGTTGTGTCGAGTATTTAAACTGGCTTATCTTTATCAAGATTATTCTACGAGATAAAAATATTTTTTCACAAAAAAAATCGTTAATCAAAGATAAAACGTGTCTAACTATGTTACGGCTTCCTGGAAATAGACACAATTAAGGAGAGAAACCGGTTAAATTTTCATCATAAATGTGCATTGAGCTGAGTCATTCGAGCCGCAATTTTGAACCTTATCAATAGAATAATAATCGTTATTTAAAAAAAAGTACTTGCAATGGGAATACTTGCATTCTTATCGCAAATAATTTTTTCAAAAATTGGAAAAACCGCACATTTCTATCTCTCTGTCCACGCAATCCTTTGTATTCAGTTTTTTTTATAGAGACAGACTGGATAAGTCTTTTGTATTCAGCTATGAGAGATAGCGTCTCTAAATTTTTTTTATTTGTAATATTTAAACTGAATTGTTGATTACTTTGAACGAATGTTGTTCATAATCAAACGTTTTATGAATCACACATACATGAAATAATCTCATTTTGTAAACATCACGTATTAAAAAAATATTTTTTCGGATCAAGAGAAATAAGCATATATTGCGCAATCTTTAGAAAACGTGATATTACAGAAATAATACGTACAAAGATCTATTTTCATAAATAATTCTATAATTATTACTGCTAATATAAAAATATATTTTAAAGAGAAACTTTGATGTATAAATCAGCCATCTATCGTTGCATTGGAATTGAGTAGATTTTATGCGCAATTGATTTCTGTATTCTAATTTAACTTTATTCGAAGTACGTTTATATAAAATGCATAACGTGGCTATTGCGGCAAAATAACTATATGTTATATTTTGTTATTTTTCTACTTGAAATATCATCGTGCATAAAGAGCTAACAATTTGCATTTCTAGCAGGTAATAATTGTGCAAGTTTCCTTGAAAAAAAATCACAAAATAATCGCAATTACTTCCACAATTAGCGTGGCTCAAAAATTGTACAAAAGTCTTAGGCCGTGAGCAATGAAGGAAATATTACGAATAGGAATAAATTTCAATCATTAAAACTCGCGTATTCCACAGTACACGATTTCTGATAATAAAATAAAATTCTTATATACTTATTTTTGTTCGTAATATTTTTTCCATCGTGCTCACAGCCTTTTAATCGTTAAATGTTATCATTTCAATATTAATCGTTAAATGTTATCATTTCAATATTAGCAAAGACGTATTGATCTCGTGTTTTCATTTTTTTTTAAACGTTAGCGGGTTTTCTCAAGGTATATTATTGTACATGAACAATTAACGGTCGTCGAAATTAATGTCTAGAAGTGCATTTTCGGTGGCATGCCATGCCATGCTCACGGAAGACGACTAATTACTTATTTTTCTTGAATTCTAAGAAAAAAACAACGAGTACAATTAAGTTAAAAAATCGAGAAAAATTAATCTACATTATTGAAGGTAGAAATGGACGTTATAATATAGTAACTGATCAAACTTCGATTAACCCGGTGATCTGATTAAGTGATTTATCAATTAATTTAATTTATCAATTAAGCTATTGTGGTATTTTAACACGGAAAATTAGAACTACTAGAATTAAATTAAAAATTTATTTTTATGTTTTTATTTTTATGTTTGGAACAGAAGTTCAGAAATCTCAATTTCAGAAATTTTGCTACGAGACATTCTGCAGGTCAATTATGATCGCTGATCAAAGTTAATCGGAGTCCGGTCGAAGTCGTCCCGCGAGAGGCTTCGCAATGTAACGAATATTTACATCTCGATAACCCTTTGACTGAAACGCGCGCGCGTGTTGCATTTACGATAACCCTTTCGACTGGAATAATCAAAACAAGTATATTATAGTTCTTATCGGTGCAGTTTTATCACGTTATAATGAAATAGCCGTCGCCGTGTATTTTGCCGCTCAGCGGCCGTCGTCGTCGGGATGATTGCTGGTAATTCGAGGCAATAATCGATGTAATTCTCCGCGCGCGTGAGTTTAATCCATTCGCCTCAGCTCGCTCCTCCTGGACACTCGCTGTCGTTCGTTTGCGACGATTTATTGTCACGCAACGTCAGCAATTCGATTTTCGGCTTTTCACTCCGCAACTCGCAACCCCGGCTCCCCGAACGAATATCACTCGAAGAAAATGACCACGTAAATATATAATATCAACTTGTTACGTAACTTGTTTTGACAGATCGATCATAGATCCGTCTTGCACCTGCTTCTTGCGCCTTTCTGCACCTCCTCTATATCTTTCTCGAATTGAAAACGTATAAGCGAACGCGAAGATAAAAATACCGAAGAGTGCAAAAGTGTGTTTACATGGCGTGAAAAAAAAATAGACGGGCGACTGTTCTTTTTAATTGCACTTTTTTATTTCGTCTCTCTCCTTTAAACTTTGACGTTTTGTTTCGAACGTAGGAAGTGCAAGTGCCGCCGAGTATAGCCGGAAAAACAAACTTTGTTGTTTTAATAATGACAATATAATGACAGCTCTATTGTTGATGTTTTGTTGAATGACACAGGCTGGTATTTATAAAGACTATTATTAATATTACTCGCATGTTATTCTTGTGCCGGAAATCTGGCGTGTCGCGTCACGTAAACACAGCTGACATTTCCATTGATTGAAATTGATTGAAATAATGAGGGCATTGAACTTCAAAACAATTGCAATTGTTACGTGTATGTACATAATCTGTGTATTACTGACCGCTAATAATTAGAATTATAAATAGGTAACTGCAGCAAGAGTGATATAATTTATATTGACCATCAGTTTTTTTTTTTAAGTTTTCTAACCTTACAGGATGCATGTGTATAACGCAAGTATCGCAATCTGTTTGCAGGGAGGCATGTAAAAGTGATAGAGTGGAAGTTGAGAAGGTGACAGATGCTTACGGCCTTTCCGAAGGCCCTCACTGGGACCATCGCACCCAAAAGTTATATTTCGTTGACATATACAATCAGTACATACGCAGGTTAGATCCTGCAACAGGTGATGTGAAGAGCGTGCACATAGGTAAGATTTCATATACCTTACGAGCTTTCCTATGTTTCGTTGAATTTATAGCAAATTTGTAAGTTCCGATACTCTTTCAGATCACGGGCCTATTGGAGTTGTTATACCCGTGGATGACACGACTGACCAGTTTGTAGCAGGTGCGGGAAAAGATGTTGTTCTCGTTACGTGGGACGCGGACGAAGATGAATTGGGGAACGTCACAGTGTTGTGTTCGCTCGACTCTGCTCAGTCTGACACAAGGGTCAATGACGGCAAGGTGGACTCGTATGGAAGATTTTGGCTTGGTAAACTGGAAAATATCTCACGATTAACTGAGATTAATGTGACCTGTTGATCTGCAACGATTAATATTTTTCACAGGTACTATGGGTAACGAAGTCAATGGAGTGATAGCTCCCAATCTAGGAACGTTGTATCGCGTTGACGACAAGCTTAAGCCTATGAAGGAAATATCGCCGGTTTCGATAAGTAACGGATTGGCATGGAATATTGAAGACAACACCTTCTACTATATTGACTCACCTACTCGTCAGGTTGCAGCGTATGATTACGATCCGAATAGTGGAACAATATGTAAGATTTTACTAGGTTTTCCATTCAAAATTATTACAAGAAAGTGTACGTCGTATGCTGAAAATAATCGTGGAGCGTACAATTTAATAATAGAAATTAGGGAGTGTGTAAGCTTATAGCTTTTTTTTATTTCAGCTAACAAGAGGATTGTATTCAATCTCAACACTACCGATGTGAAAGGAGTACCCGATGGAATGACCATAGATGCAGATGGCAATCTTTGGATAGCAGTATTTGGTGGACATCACGTAAGTTATAATGTAAAGTGAGCGACATTTAAAGATTGACGAATTGTAATATAATATTCTATAAATTATATATATATGTATAATGTTTTTAATTTCATTATAAGTAATATTAAAGAAAGAAATACTATTTTACATTTGTAGCAAAGCTGAAGTCATTAAATGCGTCTTTTGTAATCTGTTGTTACATCAACTTGAAGTATATTTTTTTGTAAAATTAATGTTTTCCCTGGATATTAATTTGAAATGTTCTCTTGATTCATTGAACATATCATAAATAAATTTAGCAGCTCAAATATATATGTAGTATAAATATATATAGAAAATGTAATGTAAAAAAATATTCATGAAAATTATTGGAGTTTTCTAAATCCATGAAAATTAGCCATCGTTACATTGGAATAGAGTAAATTTTACGCGCAATTGATTTCTGTATTCTAATTTGACTTTACTCGAAGTAAGTTTGTACAAAACGCATATAAAATGCATAACGTGGCTATTGCGGCAAAATAACTACGTATTATTTTTCGTTATTTTTCTGCTCGAAATACTGCACAAGGAGTTAACAACTTGCATTATCAAGCAGATAACATTGCGCGTTTCCTTGAGGAAAAAAGCCACAAAATAATTGCAACTGACGCAATTATTTCCATTACAACGTGGCTGAGAGACTTATGTGAAGTTCGTCACTTTAGACGTGAGCAATGAAGGAAATATTACGAACAGGAATAAATTTAAGAATTTCAATCATCAGAATTCGTGTATTCCACAGTACACGATTTCGGATAAAATGAAATTCTTATATTTATTCCTATTCCTAATATTTCTTCCATTGTACTTACAGCCTTAATCGATGAATGTTATCATTTCAGTATTAGGAACATCTTATTGATCTTGTGTTTTATTTATAGGTCATACACGTGGATCCGAGAACAGGAAAGATGTTACGCAAAGTTAAGATCCCAGCTGAAAACGTAACCAGTGCCATGTTCGGCGGTCCGCTTCTGGATACTTTGTACGTGACCACATCGGGCCACAATTTAACTGCAAAGCAACGAAATGCGACTCCTCACGCTGGTTCTGTATTCGCGGTAAAAAACCTAGGAGTTCGTGGAATTCTCTCGAATTCGTTTGTGAGGATGGATTAAAAAAAAATCGAAATAGTTCTGAAAAGAGGCCTGAAGGCACATCTTGCGCGAAAATTTGTTGTATTCCTAAATTTTATGTTGAAATTAAAAATTCTTAACGGTTCTCCTAAAAAGTATTTTTTTTTTTCGTTAAGCCGAATATACACGTACAAAGGAACACCGAAACGCTTGTTATTATTATTTATTGCACGAATTCAGTTACTATATGCAGCGAATACTAAACTTAAAATGTTTACATAACATTTCCTAAAACTGTTCTCATATCTCGCGATATCGCATGCGCCTCGTCGTGAAAGCTCGCGCAATTTATCTTCGCGTA